TGGAGTCGAACTTCTGACGATTAGAATTCTGGACCTCCGTAATACCACGCTTTGAATTTCTTAACCTTTATCAAACCGATTTGTCCCGAGAAATGATTTTGTTACCCTTTAAATTTAGAACATAGTTCATCAAGTAACTAATAAAAGGCATAACTCATCCAAGGATTCAATTTAATCCGAAATTGTTACGCAGGAATGCTACAAGTTGTTTGAATTTACAACCAAAAGAGAAACTAGTAAGGTTGTATACCATTTATCTCCCTGCTAGTTTAGCTCACAAATTTGCTGTAACCACGAATCGAAAACGCCAGCAAATCAAGCTGTAAAAATTGCACCTTACACAAAAAATTAATTACCGAATACAAATGCTCTAACGCTCGACGCCAAAATCGGTACAAAAAATTGCAATTTAGAGCAAATTTTGAATCCAGTAAAGAATCTACAAGCGCATGACCTACTTACCTCGTGCCGCGAGATTACATGGGATGTGATTTTTCATATTTCCACTTGGGAGGTAAATACCACGCTATTCAGCCTTCCTAGTCGTTCCATACGTCCAGATATTCACTTGTTTTCCAGTAAATGACTTGCTCAAGCTCAATTCTTCACTATTATACCTCTTTGCAGTTCAAAGGAGTCGTGGGTTGCATAACGTTATTTGAGTCACAATGCAAAAAGCGATCTTAGGAATAATCATTTGACGTGATGTGGGTCGTTGTTTCGCGAAGCTCTTTGGAATTTTTCATTTGGCACCACAAGCTTTGTTTCAAAAAGAGTAGCACTGTGAAGCATTATACTCAATTTTTCACTTTACAAAAGCGGACCACAATGAATTTATAGCCCTTACATGCAAATGTTGGCTAACATTTGCGCAATTGGTTTTTTGCCTTGTCGTTATATCCCTGAAGACCAGAATGTAAGGACAGACAATTCACTGATTGATCCGTTTGTATTTGGATAGCGCGTCGCTTTCTAACCCTTGAAAATCGCTAATTACTTGCGATGGGTGACCAGATTTCGCAGGCGGATATAAGCTTACTAACGATCGATATTAACATAAAATAACCCGCATACATTATTTTAACTACATACATTATTATGTACATTATTAAGAACATCAGGTTTAATTTCCTATATAGGGAAAGCGGTTAAAACCGTATAAATTTCGAGTTTCGGCACAAAAACGACAAACTCATTACCAATTCAATACTTGTGGTTAGAAGACCTGCCGAATTATCAGGTGGTGGCATGCAATTGAAACCTGCTTATAATTTAATGACTGCGTGCTGGCGCGCACCCAAACTAAAATGAAGAAATAATTACACACTTTTCGAATTTTTCTCAACACTAGTTTGTCCGGTTTCGCAAAAAAAGTTAAGAAAAGCAAAGTCGTTCTGTAGATTTTATTGAAAATGATAACAAGTGTCTTTCGCAGGTTTAAGACAAAAAAAATGCCAAACAAGCAAATATTTGTTTCGCAAAACAAACATGCCATCATTCGACCAGTAGCCAAGACGAATTTAAAGGGAAAACTCTAAAGACCATGATAAATTAACAAATCCTGGCTTCCGGGCGATAACCTAACCAAAATTTCGTCAAAAAACTGTGATGTCAAGACGATAAAAACAAATAAATGACAATCGCGCGCGGAAAAATTCTTGCAAAATTCTACAACAATACAGCAGCTAAGCTATATCTGAACCATGTGCACAATAATATTCAAAAACAATTCCGGATTAAAAGAAGTACGAACACATTAAACAGATGACAATAAACTTTATCCCCTGCGCAAGTCAGACGAGAGGGTAGTGTGTGTTTGCAGTGAGCCTCCTACTTGTACAGCAGATGCGCAATGCATGCACATTATGTTCGCGCGGTAGTTTAGCGTGAAGGATTAAATTTAAGGATTATTTATTTAAATCTGACCTAAAACGTTCCGGCTAACATGCTTGCACTGTTGGATTAGCTGATCATATGCCAGGTCACACTAGATAAACGAGAAAANCTCCGTGTCGCCCTAAAAAAAACGGTTTCCTCATTAATTGCTGTATTGGCTCTAGATTTCCTTCTCCACTTTACCCCATCGAAGCAGGTGCAAACAATGTTTAGTCTGATACAATGAAATATATGAACCATTTTTCGTTGTTTCATTGTATCTGACTTATCACTTTCACGGGTTTATTACGAATAAACTTAACGGCCTGCTCCCAGTTGGCTTGTTAGCTCAATTGGTAGAGCGCTGCACTAGTATCGCAGAGGTCAGTGGTTCGAATCCCGTACAGGTCTGGCTTTTCTCAGGTCTGATTTTCGCTATTGCTTAAATAGCGTTATCTACTGCGAGGATCATGCATCATATGTAATGTTTAGTCTGAGGAAAAATTTTACGGAATTCATTTTACGCTAAGTACTTTCTCAAAAACCAGAATACTTGGAGTAAAATCTATACACACGAGGAAAAGAAAACATCATTTACATACTTTTATCCAGTGTGTTTATATTGCGAAAAGCTATTTAAGTATCCATCTCTGATCTGGACCTTACCACAAATAACGCCGGTTTAACTGACACATTGGGCTAAAAAAAAAAATGGCGCACAATGGCAAATTTGTATACCCCATTCAACCCCGGTCTTTGGAGCTATTTGATATACAAAGCGAATGTCAACAGGAGCTTAGCTTATATATGGCCAGTCCAGTTGGAGAAGCGTAACGGCCGATGAAAAACTATAGCAGAAATTTCAAATCGTCTGAAATTCTCATATGAATTTCACCTGCTTATATCAAGCTCGGTTTTAATCATTAGAACTGAATCAGTTTTGTCACTGACGTGAAAAATATGATCGATAATTCGTAGTGTTTTGCGTTTTGTTAGAATGAAAAAAGACCGCCTCAGCTATTTATGCTTTTTGAAAATTAACTCAGAGGAATTTAAGTAGGTTGTGTTTGCAAGATTACTACACTCTCAGGATTAGTGTTCGTAAATATGCTTCGAATATGCTGCACGGTAAAGCTTGTTTTTTAATCAGAGAGACTGAGACCCCCTTAAAAGAATTATGCTGTTTGAAAATGAAATTTCCTACAAGTGAAAGTTTGTATACATTTACATAATGGCCTCAATATAAACTGAAAGAAAAATATCGGCAACACATTTTGCTTTCGTATTAGAGTGAAAAGTGCCCGCTTCGATTATTAATGCCTTTTGAAAATGGGACTTCCTCTTAATTAGTGGACTTTGCTGAGCTTTGGGCTCGTAAGACGCGAACACAAAGGTTTTTGTACAAGCTGAGCAGATGAAAAGAGATCCGGAAAACTGGCACTTAAGCACTTAACGGCTGACAAATGGAACTGGTTTCGATGGCTTATTTTAGGCTGAAATTAAGTCCTAGCTCGACCTTGACCTCCATAACAAGCAAGCAAACTTTTTAGTCTAGGGAAGCGCCGAGCCTTGGGAGGTATAAAGACTGAATATATCAAAGAATGCATAAGGTCGAAAAGTATAAACTTTTAGCTCTGTCGTACCGTAAAGATGTTGATTATAACGCGTTTCTAGGTGGCACAAAGAGAGGAAGAAGATTTCAAGTCCTTCACTTGTGACAAATCTGTTTGAAAAGGGTCGTTGGTATTTGGCATGTAGCGATACCAAAAGTGTGTTCTATAACGCTGATAAAACAACTTGATTGCTCAGTGACAATCAACAGGAAGCTTTGTGTGAAATATGATATGATGTTGAATAAGGGCCGAGTGCAAAAACAGTGGTTAACAATAAAGTTCTGACGTTTGAAGTGGGAGAGTTGTTTTTATTAATTTCAGTAACTTCTTGGTCGATCTTCGGAAAATTGATTTGTTTACATAAGTAGATGGCTTAAGAAATGTATATTACAGTTAATTCTCTTGCAATTCAATCTCCAAAATCATTCACTCTCTAAGATATTATCATCAAAATTAGCAACGCTTCGCGTCACAGGAAATGGTGAAGTCATTTTACTAAAGAGGTTTTTCCATTTCACCAAAAAGATCATATTCATCGAGAATATAGCTGCGCATTTAACACATTTTGTCCAGTTTTAGGACCAGATTTGTCAGGGTTTGTAAAAACATT